AGGTTCCAGATCTCCTTGTTGATTTTTTGTCTTAATGATCTGTCTAGGGTTGTAAGTGGGGTATTTAAGTCCCCAGCTATAAGAGTGTTAGAGTCAATATCTTTTTAAAGTTTTCCTAGAAGCTGCTTTATGAAAGTTGGTGTTCCTGTGTTGGGTGCATATATGTTTAGGGTGGATATTTCTTGTTGATGGATTAAACCTTTTATCATCATGTAGTGACCTTCTGTATCATTTAAAATTTTTGATAGCTTAAAGGGTATTTTTTCTGATATTAGAATCATGACTCCTGCTTTCTTTTGTGTTCCATTTGCCTGAAATTTTATTTCCCATCTTCTTACTTTTAGTTTGTGAGTGTCCTTTCTGGTGAGATGAGTCTCTTGGAGACAATATATTGTTGCCTCGTGATATTTTATCCATTTTTCTTGAACTTTCTTAAAGGGAAGCTTATATATATTTACACATATTTTAAAGAGGCAGTCATTTGTGTTAAATATACCTGACCTGTAGAGTCTTTTTATATCACTAGCTGTATAAGCCAAAATAATTACATTTAACAAGTCTTATGTGGAATAATTCAGCATCCTATTAGAAAGTGGTCAGTATTTTTGGCTACATTGATTGAAAGCAATATGGAAATGTCTCTCAGACTATTATCCCTTTTATTATAATGCATAAACAGACATTACAACTCCATGAACATGAACTCTACTGGGCCAATTCTAACAGTTCCACAAGTTATTTCCAGCCAGTTGAAACTATTTGCAAGACAGGCAATTGAGGACAGAATAGCTTTCAGAGATTTTCTTATGCTAAGGTCAAATCATAAAATTACTAGAGTATCCATAGCTGGGGCATAATTCTGTCAATAAAACATTTTTAATGTACTAATGACACATAAAACATATGCCACAAGTCTATACAGCTTTACTACCTTCAAGGAGTTTTTGCATTCATTATTCTTTCTTTTTTGATTTTTTGTAGAGATGAGATCTTACTATGTTGTCCAGGCTGGTCTTGAAATCCTGGCTCAAGTAATCCTCCAAACTTGGCCTCCCAAAGTGCTGGGATTATGGGTATGAGTCACCATTTCCAGCAGAGTTTTTGCACATTATCTCATGTATAAATTATTATGCCCTTTGATAGAGCTTCTTATTCTACTGGCTCTTTAAAAAATATATTACTATTTTTTATTATATATGTTTAAGGTGTACAACATGATATTTTGATGTACATATACATAGTGAAATGATTACTATAGTCAAGCAAATTAATATATCCATCTCCTCACATAGTTACCACTAATTCCAAAAGACAGAATACCCCCCTCCCTCAGGTCCCTATGCCTGAGTAGCTTGGAGAAACTAATGTATCTACTGTAGCTACCAGATATAGTGACCTCAATTAAGTATTCTGTTTTGCTTAGGCCTACCATGGTAAAACTTTACAGTAATAATCTGAACTCATCCCTTTGATCTTTTAAACCTGAGGGGCAAAAAGCTCAAAATGGAGGGCAGAGGGAATTGTTGTTTTTTGGTTTTTGGTTTTTTTTAAGATCATCAAAAGTACTAAACTGTTTATCAGGGCAACCCATGAAGAAAGAAAAACAAATTCAAAGTATGACTAACAAGGCCTGCTGTGCATGAGTCACAAACTGAATCAAGCAAGGCCTCTGGAAACAGGAGGAAAAGCATTTAGGAGCCACATCATAATCAAGCAATGAGCTTCCCAACTTAGTTTCTCCTCACTGAACTATTTTGACACCTGGATGAAGTCCAGGAGAGGCGATGTCAGGCAATTTAAAAATTGCTTTCCTTTCCCACTATGGATATTTTCAGTGACCTTGAGGAGGTGTTTAGGAAAGACTTTCTGAGGTGTGAACATGATAATAGTGGGAGTTTGGGCACCATTTGGTGAATTACTTGTTTTGAAGTTGTCTTTAAGGCATTGCACAGCCCTACTTCTTGAAAGAGGGAACCACGTTTGCAAAAGATTTTGCAAACTACTTTACAGATTTCACTTATATAAACTGGAAAGGGATTATATTTCTAAACAAAATATAAAATACAAAATAGCATAAAGCATGTTAGTTGAGCATAGAGGTTAGGGTCTTTTGCTTTTTTATTGTTATTTTATATTAAAATTCAGGGAGAGTCCAAACTTATGTTCCAAATTGTTCAGTCCTTTCTATCTAACTTGGACACTCATATCCATAAGATGTTACACTTCTGATAAGTATGATAATGATGAATTTAGTTTGAGTTCTCAACTGACTGTATGTCTCTTAAAGATATTTTCTCTCCACTTTGTCAATTTCTCATAGAGTCCAGGCTGCTTATCTGGGGAAAATGCCACAATACTTGATCTGACCTGGAAAGTTTTTCCAGTAAAGGTAAATTGTTACTCACATAAACCAGTTTTCATCATGAGGATTGAGACTAATAGTGAGGTAAAGAATGAAAAGGCAAGTGAGCTAATTGAACAAACTTTCACTGTGTGATTGTTACAGAGAGTGCTTGGTGCCAGAGATAGCCAGCCACCTGACAGCTAGGAAGAAAGCTAGGCTCACCCTCAGGGTTTCCCTTCCCTTTGCTAGTCTGTGAAAATTCTCTCACAGACATTAAAATAATTGGCTCCCAATTTCTCATTCCCAGCCTCATTTCCTCCTTCTGAACAGAAGAATCTTTTTCAAAGCACCCAGACTCAGGCCACCATGGGACCCACCTCCACTCCTTCAAGACAAAGTCAAGGCATATCAGCTGATTTCTTTTTTGGTCTTAATTTCACCTGGTTTGAGATCAAGTACCCTTATTGACATTATGTGCCCTCCCTCCCCCCGGCAGTTTGCAGCTACTGCCAATCCCTTTCCTATATTATTATGACAAATGTTCAGGTCCGCTTATGAGAAATAATATGTAGTATTCAGTTCTTTGTTTCTGTGATAGATCACCGAGTATTATAGACTCTAAATTTGTCATTCCACCTCCAATTTCCCTCAAAATGGCATAATTTTTTGCTCATATAAGTAGTGTTGGCCAGGCATGGTGATTCATACCTGTAATCCCAGCATTTTAGGAGGCCGAGGCAGGAGGATTACTTGAGTCCAGGAGTTCCAAACCAGCCTAGGCAACATAGCAAGACCTCAACTCCACCACCACCACCACAACAACAATAACAACAACTATCCAGGCATGGTGGCTCATGCTTATATTCCCAGCTACTCAGGAGGCTGAGGTGGGAGGATTGCTTAAGCTCAGGAGTTTGAGGCTGCAGTGGGCTGAGATTATACCACTGTACTCCAGCCTGGGTGACAGAGTGAGACCTTGACTCCAGAAAAATGTAGCATTGGTGGAAAGGATAATTATTTGAAAGATGGCCTAGTGCTTAGGAAAATAGTGAAGAAAGAGCTACCATTTAAAGAAAATGCTACCACCTTAACAATGACATTTCTCGGGCATTTGTTTTATTCTTTGTTGGTTGATTTGTTAAGGTTATTTTTGTTAATCCTTTTGTTTTCTTTTTTAATTTTAAATTTAGGAGTACATGTGCCAGTTTGTTACATGGGTATAGTACATGAGGTCTGGGCTTCTATCGAACCCATCACCCAAATAGTGAGCATGGTAATCAATAGATAGTTTTTCAGCCCTTGCTCCTCCCCGCCTCCCCCCTTTAGGAACCCCCAGTGTCTGTTGTTCTCATCTTTATGTCCATGTGTACCCAATATTCAACTCCCACTTGTAAGTAAGTGTACTTATAAGTAAGTGCAGTACTTGGTTTCCTATTTCTGCATTAATTCACTTGAATAATGGCCTCCAGCTGCACTCAAGTTGCTGCAGAGGATATGATTTTGTGTGTTTTGTTTTGTTATTTTTTTTATGGTTGCATTGCTCTTCTTTTCTAATGACTATTCATTTGTTCTCTTCTAGGACTAGAGAAGGCACTATAATATAATGGTTAAAAGCACAGGCTTTGGTGTCAGACAAACTAGGATGCAAATTGTAACTCTGCAACCTAATAGATTGTACTGGGCAGCTGTGTTTCCTATAGAGTTGGAATGACAGTGACTAATAAATAAGCACTTACATAAATTAACCTGACAATTGTGTTCTAATATTTTATTGATGTCCTGGCTCTTGAAGGACATTTGATTTTCTGTTTTAAGTAGTACAGCCTTATGTATGCCATGCCTGAGAGATAGACTTGGCTTCAAAACCATTGTTCTTGTTCTTGATAACTATCCACCAACCTGACATACATTTATGGGGAACTGAACATGAGTCATGAAAATAAGTCCAGAATTTGGAAACTCCTCATACTTGATTGTCCCTATCTACAGAACACTGAGGACATATCTCAGGGTATCCATATTGTATATTGTTCATACCTTGCATTAGTTATCTATGGCTATATCATAAACCAGCCCAAAACTTAGTGGCTTAAAACAATAACCATGTATTAATGATCACAAGTCTGTGGGTCAACTGGTTGGTCTTCCTGATTCAGGCAGGATTGCCTGATCTTTGTTGGTCTAGCTCCTGTGATTGGCAGGTTGACTGGGTGCTGGTTGGTTTAGAATAGTCTTACTTGTATGTCTGTTGGTTGCTGTTGGCTTCTACTTGGGGGAGTAGGGATGAATGGGTCATATGTGTTTCATCTTCTAGCAGGCTGACTCTAGCTTGTTTATAGGAGGCTCCAGATTCCAAAAGCACTGAAAAAGCAAGTCACAAAGTACAAGAACTTTACAAGTCTCTGCTTCATCCTTCCAATCATATTACGAGGCTAATCTAGATTTTAAAAGTGAAGAAAGATGCTACTACTTTAGGGAAGAGCTAGAAAGTCACATTGCAATGGTATGGACACAGAAAGGGTAAATTTTTGACGATTTTTGCAATCGTCATGCCTTTTGATTATAATCTTAATGTTTTTCCCTTCAAATCTATTGATGCAGCATACTAGAAAATCCCTGACCTAGCTCTATCTTTTATTTCCCCCTACTCCATCAGGTTTCTTCTGGGTCCATTCAAGAGAGTGTGAAAGACCGAGTGATTGACTCAAGACTGCAGCTGTTTATCACCAAGCCAGGACTCTACACATGTATAGCTACTAACAAGCATGGAGAGAAATTCAGTACTGCAAAAGCTGCAGCCACTATCAGTATAGCAGGTAGGAAGGCCCTTCATATTGCTCCAGGAGAGGAGAGAGTTGGCGCTATTCCACAGATATGACATTGGTAAAAATCTTCCCTTTCTTTATCTCTTACTCCAGTTGCCTTTGGGTTATTTTCTCCTCCATGGGGACACTTCAGGAATGACCTAGATACAGATTTTGGCAGGTTTGCTGCCCCCAAAACTAGTGATGGATAACAGCTTCCAGGAGCTCATTTCTTTCTCTCTGTCTCTATCTTTTTTCTTTTCTTTTCTCCCTTCCTTTGTCTCTTTCCTCCCTCCTTCCTTCCCTCCCTCTTGCCTTCTTCCTCCCTCCCTCCCTTCCTTTGCTTTCTTTTATTCCCTTTCCTTTCTTCCTTCCCCTTTATTTCTTTGGGTTAATTAAACTTTCCAAGGCTCTCAAGGGGTAAGATGGCAGATACATACCATGGTTGTGCCACTTTCTGCATAACTATTTCTGCAGGGCATTTTTACCTATGAGTCTGATCCCTGTGGTCATTCCCTTTCCTGTTTCATGCAAGTGATAGCAGGATATACAGGTGTTTTCAAGGAAAAGGATTGACACATGGATTTCTAGGATATTTGTGTTGAGTTCTAAAGGTTTATTTTTAAAATGTAAATGTCTCAAAGCCTTCTGAGAACATTTATAGAATTCCTACAGATGGAAATCATCCCTGTATCAGGAAATGCCAGGCATGTTATATTCATAGCATGTCTACTGCCCAGGGGTCAGCAGAGAAGTGCTTGGCCTGAGATGTAAGACAAGCACTGGTAGAGCCTGTGCCCAGGGCCAGCTCTCCAGAGCCTCCTGCTTATTACAGTGCCACTTCTTTGATCTTCCCTGATGGGGAACTTTCCAGTAACATCTGTGATTTTTTAAAAATATGAGGTAAATAGAAGTCAGAGAGAAATTTATAGAGAACATTGGACAGGGATGTGCCTCTGAGACATACCTATGAAGGAATAGAGAGAACTCTAAGCCTACCTCTCCCTTCTCCTCCAGAGACATAGCTGGTAGATATCTGCCTACAATATCTCGAGACATATTGGTTTTTCTAGTATTTCCACAAGTGGGAACTCATTTCTCCCAGAGAATGGAAAGACTTCTAAAAGTAAATTCAACTCAATTTAACAAATAATAATAAAGTGATTACTATTTACATAGCACTTTTTGCAGTTTATAAAGCACTTTTACATGCATTTATTAAATACACTGGATGCAGATCATTGTGTTAGGTAAAATAGGGAATGAAAACTTAATTTTAAAACAGGTCTTGCCTTCGAGGAATTCTGAATCTAGAAAAACGTCAGCCACATATATTATGGCACAGACTGTGTTCTAGTGCAGAAGCATAAACGAAATACAACAGCAGAACAAGAGAGGGAGAGTGTCTGGGAATCCTTGAGAAAGGGGTGCCATTTTAGCAGAGGATGTGGGTATGAGATGACTAGGTTGAAGCATATTCAAAACCCAGCAAGTCAGTGGGCAAGTCTAGACCATGACAGAGACTGGATTGAGGTGGAAAGTGGGAAGAAATGTTTGAAGCGTGGGCTCTAGCCAGGTTATAAAGAGCCTGTATAGGATTAACATATTCTTTTATCAGTGGGAAGTCATGTAAAGATTTACAAGCACAACAACTGATCTATCCCTTAGCAAATTAACAGATGTTGAGAACTCAAGAGATTGGGAAGTGAGGCAAGTAGTCATGAACTCATCTGGGAGTCTTGAAAAGTAATAAAGATGTGAACAACAGCAGCAGCTTTGGTTCAGAGAGAAGACAAGAGTCATGCAGAGCATATAAGGATAGAAATAAGTTTTGTAAGTGCTTGAATATAGCAACGGGTTAGAAAAATGAGTTAGGATGTGTCTGAGGTTTTGAGGAAGGTGTCAAGGACAAACAATAATATACAAACAAAAAACATAAGAACATGAGAAGGTCCAGGAGATAATAACATACTTAAAAATATTGTACCTTTGAATTACTTGGAATTACTCTAGTCTCACTGCCTTTATTTTATTTGACACTTGATCAAGATCTACTATTAAATAAACATATATTAATATATTATACGATTATATATGTATATAACTTATATATGTGTGTATACATATATATGGGGAGAGAGAGAGAGAGAGAGAAGCACATTTACATATAAATACTCAAATCCAAGAAAATAAAGTGATAATTTAGTTTAAACTACATTTCCACTGGGCAAAAGAAAAAAAAGTAATACTGCCAATCTTAAGAGAGTCTTTTTTCAGGTAATTATTCAGTCTTTCAAAGCTGTCTCCTGCTAGGGCTCTTCCTCCTTCCATCTGTTCCCCAAGAGGACAAGAGAGAAGAGGACTTGTGTTTATGCACTGGTGTCCTCTGGATTCCTCCTGGTTTCTGGTAAAGTCTGCAGAAGAGGAACTTGTGATTGTATCTTTTAGCTTCATTAGGACCCAGAGGATCTTTCTGGCTGGTTCAGCCCCTTCAAGACACCCTCTGGAGCAGCATAACCTTCCGCATCTCAGCCACATCCTTCATAGAACCTCAGTTAGTCCCTACTTTGGCCTTATGGCTAAGCTTCTAAATTCCAACTCAGCTTCTTTCTTATCCATCATGGGGTCTGAAGCAATTTCTGGATCACTTTCATGGTATGCAAAATCCTAAAGAGATTCAGACCTGCTCACTCAGTTCTTCTGTCTACCCAACCATGTCATGCTATCATTTTTTACACTAGTGTTGCCATCCCATGTCAGGGTGAGGGATATTTATAGGATTCTTGCCTATAGTGTCTCAAATAAAATGTTGAAAAATTCCTCTGTTTTTGGTTTTTTATCTTAATTGATCAAGATAAATTGTCTTTACCCTAGGATTTGGGTCCAGAAAAGGAATCTGTAAACTATGTATCAAATTCTTAATCCCTCTATCTCCCTCCTTTTCACAATATTCAAAGCTGGAAGGATTTGTCAGGAATCCCTCCTGTAGTGTGGCAACCTTCAGTGCCTGTTCAAAATAAGCACAAAGGTGGTTGCAAAGGCAGTACTATGACCAATAAGAAGAGGAACCTAATAAAATGGGTATATGTACTCTACACAGAGGTACATTCATTCCATGGACATGATCTTTAAGATACTAAAAGGACTTCAAAGCATGATTTCCACCATAGATATACAGTAATATCATCTCTTCTTTCCTGCCTTCACCCAAATAAGAACGTGATCCAACTCCATTAATAAATGAAATATACCAACAGAAAAATCTATATCCCTAAAAACGTTGAATCTTGTGGTAGTAGAAAGAGTCTAAATGTATGAAACAAGCAGCACAGAAAGGCCATGTACCAGCATGTAAGGAGAAATAGTCTTAGACATCAATGTTGAGAATGACCAAAGTGAGGATGAACATAATCAGCAATGGCAGCCCAGGGAAAATAACTGTAGACTGTGCAAGAAAGAAGGGATGCTGGGAGCAACGCATGGATTGGTACATCACAGCAGAGAGGAACTTGCAATCTGCTGCAGCAGCAAAGTTGCTGCTCATGTGAAGAGAAGTCAACCCAGTAAGGGGAATGATCATGAAGACTGAAACCAGCAATGACTTGTCTAGTCAATAGACTTGGCAACAATAGTGATAAGAAGGTCAGCTATAGAATGGGGGGAAATTAGGGCTCTGGATATGAGATTTGACAATACTCTGGACAAGGGTGTGTATATAGTATCTGCTAAGGGCTCAGCTAAGGGATCATCAAGGAACTTGGGTATAGGAAGAACAGGCTGTATAACAAAGGGGTTAACCTATAACCCTTGGGGCCTGGGACTTTGTCCTCCTCTGAACTGCATGAGCAACAATCATAGCTGTCCAAATACAGAATCATAGGCTGCTCAATGTTGGGAGTACAGTAAAGAATTGAGAGTTGTTATTCAAAAACTGGAAAATATTTTTAAAAGATTAAAAAGGTCTAGAGTAGATGTGATAAATTAGAAACATGCTTATTCTTTGGAAAATTGCTGCATATCTAGTGTTATTCCCTACTCTGATTCATAAAAAGCTACAAGACTGTTTTGTTTAGCTCCTGATTTGTTTCTCTGGTTGGGTCTCACTGAGTATTAGGGGACCTGACACTTTCCCCACTTTTTTCAAAATTTCCCTAGGCAAATCTAAAGAGGGTATCTCATGAGTGAAATTGAATAAGACCACCGAACCCTCATAAGATAGCTTCCATTTTCTCTTCTTTGAGCAGTTCTTGTCAGTTAGACTTGCTAGACACACCTCATAAAGATCCTGAAATCATTCAAGAAACTACTGCCTAAACCTAAGGTGCTCCCTGGTCTAATATTCCAGGAAAATGAGTCCGCTTTGATGAAAAGAGGATCTTGGAGGCATTTTAATCCAGGGTCATCTCAAGAAAGCATAGCTCCCCAGATCTCCCAGAGCTTGGGTGTGATATCTGCTTTCTCTACTCCTGTTTTCAGCCTCTCTCCTTTGGCCTCTGATGAAGCTGGCTAGAGGTCTAGAGCCTGAAGTCATACATGGCACACCCTCCTTGCCATTCTGGCAGTGCTTCCTTACCCTAAATTCTGCTGCTTCCTTTGCCAGTCCCATCCTCCCCTAGTGTTCTAGTAGTGTTCACTAGTGTGACTACTGTAATCCTTAGTAGTCAACAGCCCTCCCTGTCACATTCCTTGTGTTTCCCTTTGAAATTTCTACTTCATCTGTTTATTTGCTCTTCCCAGCAGGAAAACTAGGAGTGGAAAAAGCTGGTCTAGTGCTTAGGATTATGTCTAATGATGTTTCTAGTGTTTGAAAGACAACCAAAAATAAAGATTAGCCTTCATTTTTCTAAAATCCTTCCATGTGTCAGCCCAAATCCTTTTGCATTGTGTGAGAAATATGATATACTTCTTTCTGACTCATTTACATTTGCTGTTAGTCATCAAAAGAAGTCAGAAAAACTTTTGGAGCCTCTCCCTATGAACCAGGAAGCTGCATTTCACTCCAGTTACAACCC